GGTGTTATATCATGTAAATTTAAAGAATATATATTTGATAAGGGAACATCAACGAATATCCATTAATTTAAAAAAATGCAAGAACTTCTAGCAAGCACCGATATCTTCAAGAAATTTCAGAGAACTTCCATGAAATTTAGATATTTTGAGATAGTTTTATAATATTCAGCGATGTTCCAAGTACTTTGAGGACGATCAGATAACTTCAGAACAGTTCCATTAACTTAAGGAAGTTCGCAGCAAGTTACAAGGAGTTCCGTGGAATTATGGGATATTCCGAGAATTCTATGATTGATGCAAAAACTTAGGAAACGTCAGTTAATTTTTAATATATATAACAGAAAATTTGCCGGACATTAAGCAAATATAGAGAACGTCAGGTCAAACCAAAACTTCAGGGATGCCCTGATATTAGTGGTTTAACCTTCCTTATGCATTAGGAAAAAGTTACACATTGGTGCATTAGCGGGTCAAAAAAGACCAAAACTGCAACTCGCTCCCTAAAATCTATTTTTGAACCAAGTCTTAATCTATTGACCGCAAAAGAAATATAAAGGTTCCTAGAATAGTACCCTGTCCAGGATTTCTCCAATTTGGCCATTTAGGCTACCCGGAACCGGTTGTGATAGGGAACAAAAGGACACTATCAAAACCGCATGTACTGGTACCGTCCGATGGCTCAAAGTTTATGATTTTTCATCCAGAAGTAAAAAGACATCATCAACAGGTGGATGATCTGGCTACATCCGAATACCCGGAACCGGTTCCGGTAGGGCTCAAAAAGGACACTTCATAAACCTCATGTACTGGTATCGTCTGACGGCTCATAATTTGTGATTTTTCACCCAGATGTAAATATCCATCATGAAATGGACCAAAAGGTAGATCTGGCCACACCGGAACCGGTTCCGGAAGAGCCCAAGAAGGAAACTTCCTAATCCTTATGTACCGGTACTGTCTGCCGGCTCAACATTTATTATTTTTCATCCTGAAGTATATACCAGTGGTATACGGTACCAGTACATGAGGTTTAGGAAGTGTCCTTTTGGGGACCCTGCCGGAACCGGTTCCGGGTATCCAGATGTGGCCAGATCCACTTGTTGGTTCATGGCATGATGTCTATTCATCAATTTTGAGCCGTTGGGCGGTACCAATACATGCGGTTTTGAAAGTGTCCATGTGTGCCCTATCGGAACCGGTACCAGGTATTCTAATTAGCCGAATTGGAAGCATCCTGGGCAAGGTGCCATTCTAGGAACCTTAATCTTTCTTTTGAGGCCAATAGATTGAGAATCGGTTCAAAAATTGATTTTTGGGAGTGAATTGCAGTCTGCGTATTTATAGACCCTAATGTACAATGTGTTTCTTTTTTTGAAGCGCCACTCCTAGAGGTCGCTGAAAGCTTCTGTTGATAACAAAACGTTTATTTCCAAAAGCTGGAAAAAGTGAGAAAATTATTTCGCTACAAAGTTACAGCTTTTTTATAGTGACGCCGGGTTAAAGACAAAGTTTCGTAAGCGTTTATAATGTTTATAAATGTTATGAAAATTGTGGAAATTTGAAGGCAATTAATTTCAGTAAAATTGCGGGTTCATTTAAAAAATACTGCGAAATTCAGGGCAGTCTAGAGAACTGTAATGAAATTTAGAAATCTTAAGGAAAGTATAAACAATTGAAGAAGTTATGAATTAGTGTCGATAATGTAAGTGCAGTTCCACATACTTCAGAAAAGTCTTTAGAACTTCATTGAAAATCGATTTGATTTCAAGAAAATTGCGGCAACTAAAAGAAGTTCAAGAAATTTCAGAAAAACTTAAAAAAAACTTCTCAGAAGTGCAAAGATTTTCAGAAACATCTCGAGATCTTGACAGAAGTCTATGGAACTTAAGGAAAGATCCGAGAACTTCAGGAACTTTCTTGAATGTTTGCAATATGTGGAAGGATTCCAAAGAAGTTTAATAAGCTCCAAAAATAGGGGAATTTCAGGGAGAGCTCAGTTCCATTAGTTTCAGAAAATTAGTGGACAATTTTAAGAAGTTCCCGTGAATTTCAGAGAACTTCAGAGATGTTAAGTAAATTATTGCCCAAGCAACACACATCCCAAGTAACATTTTGGGTTTTATGAGGGTTCTGAAGATTATGATTTAGGCTTGAACAACGCTTTAAGACCATGATAAATCTTGCAATGTTACTTGGAATGTTCTATAACGGTTTGTATGGTTGTAATTCTATGAATTTATATTATTCGGTTGAGGTCTTCACATTAGTTCAGAAGATTACGGAAGCTTAAATATGTTTAGGCCAGTTAAATTAAATTCAGAGCAGTACACAAAGCTTGATGAGAACTGCAAAAACTTTGGAGAAGTTTCAAGAACTTCAGGAAAGAACAGAAAATTTCAGAGCAGTGCCGTTAACATTAGAGAATTTGCATAAATTTTAAAAAAGTTTTGTGAACTTCAGAGTGATTTGTTAATACTTCAGAGAAGATCCATGATCGTTTTGAGGAAACTTTAGGAAGTCCGAAAAAGTTCCGGGAAGTTTAAAAATTTGTGAGCATCAGGCTAGTTTCTCAAACTACAAAAGAACTTCAAGGCAGTTTCATTAACTTCAGGAAAATTTAGGGAACTTTCAAGTAGTTCTGTAGATCTACTTGTTTGTTTCTTTGAAAAACTCGAACAGCTAGTACAATTTGGATCTTTTGCGTCTTAAACGAAAAAAGGACAAATGGTACAAAAAGTTTTGTAGATCAAATAATGACACTCATTGGAATAGGTACACAATCGCGCATAATAAGTATTCACAATCGGTAAAGAAAACTCGTTGTGAATATGTTCAAAGGAAGATTGATCAGCATCAAAACAACAGCAAAGAGTTATGGAAAATTTTGAAATCTATATTAAAACCTAGTAATTGCAAACCGTGGTCCATAACTTTTAATGGCACATTAGAACAGTCAGAGCAAGTAATTGCAGCTAAGTTTAATGATTATTTCGTAGATAGCGTTTCATTGATTAATCAATCTATTGAATTGGTCGATGAACCTGACGAAATAAAACAGCCAGTTAATAGTAGTTGTAGATTTGAAGTTTTTCACCCAATTACATTAGATGAACTTAGAGTTATTTGTTTTTCATTAGGAAAATCGGCTGGAGTAGATAATGTTAATGCTAGAGTTATTCAAGATTGCTTTCATGTCATTGGCCACATCTTGCTGGACCTTATTAATGAATCATTACAAACTGGACATGTGCCACAAATTTGGAAGGAATCCTTAGTGGTCCCCATTCAAAAAGTTGCTGAAACGATTAATGCCGAAGAGTTTCGTCCCATCAACATGTTGCACACATTAGAGAAAATTCTAGAACTTGTTGTTAAAGGTCAGCTATTGGAGTATTTAAATAGTAATAGTTTGTTGATACCAGAGCAATCGGGATATCAGAAAGGACATTCTTGTGAAACCGCGTTGAATTTGGTTTTAGCGAAATGGAAAAATAACTTGGAGTGTAAAGATACGATTGTTGGAAAAATAACTTGGAGTGTAAAGATACGATTGTTTTTTTGGATCTTAAACCCGCTTTTGAAACAATTTCTAGGCCCTTATTGTTAAGATCAATCAAGCGCTTTGGAATTACGAGTACTGCATATAAATAGATTGAAAGCTATTTGTCTGACAGAACTCAACGGACTGTTTTTAATGATTCTGTTTCCAGTCCCGTAGGTAATAACCTTGGAGTGCCCCAGGGAAGTGTATTAGGGCCCCTGTTATTTATTATGTATATTAATGACTTGCGACGTGTTTTACGATTTTGCGACATTAATCTTTTTGCAGATGTTGTGTTATTCATTACAGCTAAGGATTTAGAAGATGTTTGGAAAACTCTCCTGGAAAACTTTCCGAATTCCTTTGAAGATCTCCTAGAGCTATTATCAGATTTAATTGTAATCCATGTCAATTGAACAGAGTAACAATGGCCGCCATAAGTCGCTGAAAAAGATTCCGACATCCTCGCAGGACGTGGCCAATTTCAACAAAACCAGACATGTGGCATACCAAAATTTCCAGATTTGTTTTTGACAATTCATTATACCAATTGAGTAGAGTGACAATGGCCACCAAAAGTCACTGGAATAGGTTCCGGAAGTCCCGCAGAGTGTAACCTATCTCTAATTTCAACAGAAGCTGTGATAATAGCTCCTGAGGAAGTGGCTCAATAATTGAATTATAATTATTGACATGGTCTCTTATGAATTGTCCTTGAATTTCTGATAATTTTGATAAGCACTTCTGGTTTTGTTAAAATCAGATGTAGCCCACTTCCTCCGGAGCTTCCTGAACCTTTTCCGGGCCATCGGGTAACTAATGCCACTCTTGTCGGGTGGCATGGTTTCTAATGACATGTCCCAATACAATACTGAACACTTTGAAATGCCGCTTGACTAGCTCTTGTTTAAATAAGAGCTTAACCATTCAAATTTAAGAATTTTAGGGCTCGACTGTTTGATTAATGATTTACACATTGACTTTCAATACACACTCCGTGGCAAGAGCTCTCTTAAAACTAACCTTCCGTAAATCACCGTTAATCCCTCCACAAATTGAAGCGATCGATTGCTAATCGATCGCCAAACTACCACTCAAAAAAAAAAATCACGATCCGGTGTGTAAGAAAGCACCTCCAGTACAACCTTACGACACCATTTTCCGACGTACTGCCATCGTAATCAATCGATCGGTCGTTGAATCGTTAAGTAGGTTGTTGCCAGCCGTCCGAAGCCGCAGGGGTTTAAAATATGTGGCAGTAAATGAATGCACACAAAATGCCGTCGCGCCTCTAATATGCATACAAAAGCCTCGGGAGGGCGTTCGGTCGCGCGATCCACTTGGACAAAATTAGCTCGCTTTTCTTCCGTTTAACCTACAATTAGCACTGCACCACTGGCTGGCATTGAACTTGTCACCTCGTACTAATTCGCTTATTTTTTTATTTTTATTATTCTAGATCCCCGAGTAGCCGACTGGCCGATGATGTCCTCGCCACTGCCCACCCTAGCGCTGTGCATATTCTATGCCTATTTTAGCAAATCGATCGCGCCCAGGATCATGGAGAAGCGAAAACCGATGGACCTTAGGAACTTGCTCGTAGGCTATAACCTATTTCAGACGATCTTTAGCACGTGGATATTTTACGAGGTGAGTGAGCTGATTGGTGATCGACGATTAAACAGTAAATTAGTCTACCTAATTTGATATGTAAATCAGTGGGGAAGTGACTGCTGCAAGTGGTACTCAGGCCGGAACGGGGGCAATTTGCAGTCGTTTAGTCGATGGCGATCGATTGTAGTAATGTGGGGTTTTGTGCCATTCGAAGGGGGATTGCGTGTTGGGCGTTTTTTTTTTAGGGTTTGACTACATGAGGAAGTGTTACGTTTGTTCACACTTTAGTTCGAACTCATGCTGTCGTTCAGGTTTAACATGATAGATTCACTGTGATGTGGCCAAAACGTTTAAAACGATCTGGGGTTAACAATTCAGCTGGACTTAGAGCACCAACACAACTTTCAGACCCAACTTTTCTGTTTATTTGACTACTTAGCTTAATGCTTTCTTCGGCAATTTGATGGATTATTGAGCGAAACTTCAAAAAAATATAACTCAAATACGAACAGACCAGCAACAAAATAGTTGGGTGAAGAAGAATTGCATTATAACACACCATCGACTGGAAATGCTTTCGGCAACGTGGGGCTTTAGATAGTGATGAAACGTCGCTAGAACCATTCCACAGTCGCAGACAGTTTATGAGCAAAGTCAAGCACACACTTTTTGCCGGTTGATTTGGAGGCATACTTCAAATCTCCGCGTACACCGTACGGGTTAGGCAAAGAAATGTGCGTTTGACTTTGTACTGTCGCATTAATGGCCCTTCGCGCATTTTCAACTTCTATTCAATTTTCATACTGCCGTACAACGGAATTATCTACCTACCCTCTTCTAAGACCATTATCTAGCTTATAAATTATCACACTAAAGCTTCATGTTAGATTGCATTCCCAACCAACTCCAATCGCAAACTTCGCGTATGAAGTAACTTAAAAACACTTTGAATGAACATAAAAAACAAATACAATCAATATATTTCAATACAAAATCCCATTTTATTTTAAATCATGATGTTGTAAAATATGTTTAATTGCCTTTCATTTGATATTTTGATCTTTTGTATCGGCCTAGTGGTTCAAAAGATGATTTTTTTGAAAAAAATATGTCTGAGCATCCCAGAAAGCGAAAGCAAGCGCTTCTTCGATGGCCAAGATTCTCTTTTTCGACGACACATCTGAAGCACCACAGTCAGGACCGATAGAAAGTCATTTTTTCAAAACAATGATTTTTTGGACCACCCTAAAGTGGAAATGGTCACCCTAAGGACAAAATAAAAAAGGGTCTAATATTTGGAATGAGGAATAAAACTACCGAATTTTATGAACTTCTGATAACCACTACATCGTGTTGCTATGGAATGGCTTTTTAAATATTTTTCTAGATTTCCGATCCGGCCTAGGGAATTTTCCGGATTGAAATTTTATCGACTTCCCCGGGTACATAGTATCAGCACAATGATGCCTCACAACACACAAATTCTTCCATTGGTTGCACTTTAACACGGTAATTCGTGACTTGTCTGGGGGTGGGATTTGATCTCGTGACCCTGGCGTGTGTATCAGTCTTTGTTGATCGGGTAGATCATTTGATCGGAACTCCAGGATAATTTGGAGATCCTTGGGCATCTTATATACCTCAGAATAGATGATAGTGATGCGCAAAACCTCTATGAACATTTTTGGGTAGGTGTCGTTACTGAGGACATCGCGCAGGCCTTCATTGATCCAGTAGATCAAATAGGCTGAACTCCTGGACAGTTCGGAGAACCTAGAACATCTTATACACATAGAATTGAAACGTAAATGTTGTGCATAATATCAATGAACATGTTTGGACAGCTTTCGTCAACGAAGACGACGTGCAGGTTTTGATTGATCCAGTAGATCAAAAAGGCTAAATTCTTGGACAATTTGATGAACCTAGAACATGGTGTACGCATGGAATTGAAATCTAAATTATGTGAATAATCTTTATGAACCTATTTGGAGTTGCTTCACAACTAAGGGCATTGTATCAGGCATTGTTGATCTGGTAGATAATTTGATCTAAACTCCAGGATAATTTGGAGAACCTTGAGCATCTTATAAACATCAAAATAGATGATAGTGATGCGCAAAACCTCTATGAACATTTTTGGGTGTCGGAACTGAGGACATCACGCAGGCGTTGCTTGATCCAGTATATCAAATAGTCTGAACTCCTGGACAGTTTGGAGAACCTAGGACATCTTATACGCATAGAATTGAAACGTAAATGATGTGCATATTCTCAATGGACATGTTTGGACAGCTGTCGTCAACGAGGACGTCGCGCAGGCCTTTATTGATCCAGTAGATCAAATAGGCTGAACTCCTGGACAATTTGGTGAACCTAGAACATCTTATACACATGGAATTTAAATCTAAATTATGTGAATGATCTTTATGAACCTGTTTGGAGTTGTTCCAAAACTAAGTTAATTGTTTCAGTGATTGTTAATCTGGTAGATCATTTGATCTGAACTCCAAGGTAATTTGAAGATCCTGGAGCACCTTATATACCTCAAAAAAGATTATAAGTGATGCGCTAAACCTCTATGAACATATTTGGGTAGGTGTCGTTACTGAGGACGTCGCGCAGGCCTTGATTGATCCAGTAGATCAAATAGTCTGAACTCCTGGACAATTCGGAAAACCTAGAACATCTTATGCACATAGAATTTAAACGTAAATGGTGTGCATAATCTCATTGAACATTTTTGGACAGCTGTCGTCCACGAGGACGTCGTACAGGCCTTGATTGATCCAGTAGATCAAATAGGCTAAACTCCTGAACAACTTGGAGAACCTAGAACATCTTGTACGCATGGAATTGAAATCTAAATGATGTGCATAATATTTATGAACCTGTTTGGAGTTGTTTCGAAACTAAGGGTCTTGTATCAGTCATTGTTGATTTGGTAGATAATCTGATCTGAACTCCAGGGTAATTTGGAGAACCTTGAGCACCTTATATACCTCAAAAAAGATTATAAGTGATGCTCTAAACCTCTATGAACATATTTGGGTGGGTGTCGTTGCTGAGAACATCGCGCAGGCCTTGATTGATCCAGTAGATCAAATATTCAAAACTCTTGGACAACGTGGAGAACCTAGAACATCTTATACACATAGAATTGAAACGTAAATGATGTGCATAATCTCAATGAACATGTTTGGACAGGTGTCGTCAACGAGAACGTCGTGAAGGCCTTGATTGATCCAGTAGATCAAATAGGCTGAACTCCTGAATAATTTGGAGATCTTAGAACATCTTTTACGCATGGAATTGAAATCTAAATTATGTGCATAATATTTATGAAACTGTTTGGAGTTGTTTCGAAACTAAGAGTCTTGTAACTCCAGGATAATTTGGAGCACCTTGAGCATCTTATACACATCAAAGTAGATTATAAGTGATGCACAAAAAATTCTATGAACATTTTTGGGTAGGTGTCGTTACTGAGGACATCGTGCAGGCCTTGATTAATCCAGTAAATCAAATAGCCTGAACTCCTGGACAGTTCGGAGAACCTAGAACATCATATACCTATAATAGAAACGTAAATGATGTGCATAATCTCAATGAACATGTTTGGACAGCTGTCGTCAACAAGGACGTCGTGCAGGCCTTGATTGATCCAGTAGATCAAATAGGCTGAACTCCTTGACAATTTGGAGAACCTAGAACATCTTATACACATAGAATTGAAACGTAAATGATGTGCATAATCTCAATGAACATGTTTGGACAGCTGTCGTCAACGAGGACGTCGTGCAGGCCTTGATTGATCCAGTAGATCAAATAGGCTGAACTCCTGAATAATTTGGAGATCCTAGAACATCTTGTACGCATGGAATTGAACCTTGAGCATCTTATAAACATCAAAATAGATGATAGTGATGTGCAAAACCTCTATGAACATTTTTGGGTAGGTGTCGTTACTGAGGACATCGCGCAGGCCTTGATTGATCCAGTAGATCAAACAGGCTGGACTCCTGGACAATTTGGTGAACCTAGAACATCTTATACACATAGAATTGAAACGTAAATGTTGTGCATAATCTCAATGAACATGTTTGGACAGCTGTCGTCAACGAGGACATCGCGCAGGCCTTTATTGATCCAGTAGATCAAAAAGGCTGAACTCCTGGACAATTTGGAGAACCTAGAACATCTAGTACGCATGGAATTTAAATCTAAATTATGTGCATAATATTTATGAACTTGTTTGGAGTTGTTTCGAAATTAAGGGCATTGTATCAGTCATTGTTGATCTGGTAGATCTTTTGATCTGAACTCCAGGATGATTTGGAGAACCTTGAGCATCATCATCAAAAAAGATTATAAGTGATTCGCAAAAACTCTATGAACATGTTTGGGTAGGTGTCGTTATTGAGGACATCGCGTAGGCCTTGATTGATCCAGTAGATCCAATAGTCTGAACTCCTGGACAATTCGGAGTACTTAGAACATGTTGCAACCAAGCAAATCCATCTAAAATTGTCAAATTGGGTTGAATTAACATGGCAGTGCGTGATCGATTGCTGAAAATATCATCCCTGGCCAGATTCAAGTCTGTGTTCGTTAACATAATAACTTCTTAAGGTTTTGGAGATCTAGATCTATGAGTTTGGTGCTTTCATATTTTTCCTGTATTGTTGACACCCGGAACTACAAATTTCCTGAAGAAATTATGTAGATATCTGTTATTTTTGATTTTATGCAACTATGTCATAAATGATCACGCGGGCTCGAAAGGGTTAAGAGAGTTGCATGATTTTCATGGCTGTTGAAAGAACTGCGAAAAATTGCAGGAACTTCAACGAAGATCATAGTAGTTCCAATATGTTCAAGAAAATTGGGTGATATATTTTGCTATTTTGGTAGTTTCATTATGATTTGAGAAGTTCCCGGTAACTACTTCGCAAATGAGCAGAGATCTTCTTAACAGTTTCATTAACTTAAGGAAAATTGCAGTTATTTTCAAAGAGGAACTATGGAATATTCCAAAAATTTCACGAATTTTGCAATACTTCAGGGAACTTTATGAATTTGTGGAAAATTTCCGGAACAGTAGAAAAATTAGTTAACTTCAGGAAAGAAACAAAACCTCAGTCCGAAGACCGAAGAAGTTCAGGGAGAATGAGAGATTTTCGACAAAGTTCCGTAAGCTTCAATGAAGTTTTTAAAACTTCCGGGGAAGCTAAAGGAAGGTCAAGGAACTTCAAGGCAATTCAAAATTAACTTCAGTAAAATGGTGGAAAGTTTATAAAAGATACTTAGAACTTAAAGGAAGTCTGGAGAACTTAAGAAATGCTCAGAGATCTTTCGGGCAATTCCAATTAGAGGTAAATCACTCCCACATTAAACCACTTTAGGACGTTGAAGCCACTGTAGACTCGATTTTAGAGTTGGAGGCGAACCAGCCTCAGGCTGAAAGCCTCCTTAATAAAGATAAATCAATCAATCGATTTTAGATTTGATTTTAAAATAAAAATACGGACTATAGTGAAATTACCGGATGAAACCCGTAGTTCCAATATCATCAGGAATGCTCCTAAAACATCACGAAAGTCCGGATTACCGGAGGGATTTTAAGACAGCTAAGAATTAGTTTCGGTTATTCAAGGGCAAATCCTTAATTATCAGGTAAACTTTGGTAAATGTATTGAAGTCCAGAGAACTTTTGGGAACTTCACGAACATCAGGAAAATCCGGGGATTAAGAGAAGATCATTGCAGTTCCATTAATTTCAGAAAAAAAGCGGGACATTTAACGAAGTTTCCAGGTTTCCAAGAAGTCAAGAGGACATCAGAGATGATCAGAAAACTTCAGAAAATGTTCGGATTGGGAGAACTTTAAGGAAGTTTTTATTCAGGGCCTGGGATGTTAATAACGTTATCACCAACAACGTCTGAAATGAAAATTTGCTTTGCAAACGATAATGCTATCATCATTAACAACCCTGTTCAGGGCAGTGCTCCACGAAACCTTCCGAGAACTTCAGAGAAGTTCCGAGAACTCCAGAAAAAATGTTAAAACGTCAGGAAGTTCCTAGAATTCCAAGAAAATTGCGGGAACTTTAGAAAAGATGCATGATCCGTATTAAAATAACGGGAAATTAAGGGACGTCCATAGAAATGGAACCGTGAGCATCAGAGTAGTTTCTGAAACCTTTAACTTCAATGAAGTCCTGAGAATTTTAGACACGTCCAAAGCAGATTTAAATGAAAATCGAGAAGCTCAAGGATATTTTATACGAATTGAGTACTTTTTTGGATGATCCAGATCTTCCAGAGGACTGACTACCTAATTGCATATGCTGGTCCTAGATCCTAATTCATGCATGAAGATTCAGAACAAGTAATTGAAAACAAACCGCTGAGCTTTTGAGTCTTTACGCATGGTCCGGATCCCCCGACGGACCGGTCCGTGGCCACCAGAGTGGACATACATGCATACAAATCCAAATTCATTTATGCAGCATCACAACAAGTTGATGATCCGGATAACAACGCTTGGGTCGGTTGCTATCGCGCTGCTATATTTGTTGACCCGCTGTTCATCGAGAGGTAGATTGTTATTTCCCGCACTTGCGTTATGGTGGAGCTTTAGCAACGCATTGGTGCGGTGCTCTTAGCAGAAATTTGCACGCAAAGCATTTGCTTTTAAGCCCTTCGTAGTATACTTCGATCGTCTACTGTTTGCTAATTTCCCTTTCTCTCTCTCTCTCTCTCTTTTCCAGTATTTACAGAGTGGATGGTGGGGCCACTATAGCTTTAGATGTCAACCGGTAGATTATTCGGATAATCCCCTTGCCTTACGGGTAAGTTCCAACGGCTCCAACCTCAGATGAAGTCCATCCTTCATCCTTCTTCTATTTTGTTTGACAGATGGCGCGGACGTGCTGGTGGTACTACATTTCCAAGTTTACCGAATTCTTCGATACACTGTTCTTCCTGCTGCGGAAGAAGAACCAACATGTGTCGACCCTGCACGTTATCCACCACGGATGCATGCCGTTCTCGGTTTGGATGGGCATGAAGTTCGCCCCGGGTAAGTATAATCGCTATACCCCCTCACAGCGCATGATCTTTTTTTTTTCCTTAGTGGTAGACATCGGGCAGACAGACGAGAACGACGAAACGCAATGATCGACTCAGCAGGAACCCGCACTAGGCCAGTAGGTTTCGATTTAAGCCATCGATGACCGACCGACAAGCCCCGCCGCAACAGAAACCAGGAATTGCGCAATCGGGCCGCGCTGCTGCAAATAAACAGCAACAAGCTCGGCTTTGACGTTGACGGCACGTGGCACGGTCGTTTAGATTGACTCAAAATTGAGTCGAGTTCGAGTAAATTTTACAAAAAGGAAAAATTTCTTGAATATGAGGAAAATCGAGAGACGTTTCACTCAGTCTATTATCGTATGGAGAATTTTTTTAAAGTGTAGGTCACTACGCTTTTAGAAATTTCTCCATACATATTTAGAGACTTCTCCATAAGAATGAGTAAAAGTGACTCACTCTCTGAGTAAGATTCGTTTTCAGTGTAATTCGAGAAGTTTTTCCTGAAAAATCTCGGAAAACTTTACTCACTTTGTAAACAAATCCACTTGTTGCTAAACTGAGTCTAATTCGACTCAATTTTCAGTCGATCTCACCGTCCGTGTGCCCCGTGAATGGCGATGGCGGGGCGCTAAGTGATGTGTTTAAATAAGTAACCATCGCTGGCTGTTTGCATTAATTGCGCACGTGAGGCTCGCTCTGCTGAACCGAGCCAGTAAAACGAATTTGGATTTTTAAATTTAAACCGATTCGGATGTGTTACGTTTCCTCAATTTCTCCTCTAACGGGTATTATTGTGTAACGAACGCGACGAATCGGGTCAAGTTCAGCTGGTGTCCAAAAACCAGCCGACAAATGTCTCTCTTTTGTGCGTCGTTTTCAAGGGTTCCGGCGATCACGCGTTCGCGATAGACGACGACGACGACGACGACCCCCACCATGGTCGGTGTGGCGGTGCGGCGGCGTCGTGGCGGTGGAGATGAAGATTTATGTTGATGTTAATCACTGTGGCACATCTCACCTGTGCCTCCGTCCCACAAAATCTGACGACCGACGACGCTAGGAAATGCACCTACTGACGGGGCATTTTTGCCCTATGGTTCGAGTTTTCGTCGTCGCTGGTCGACAGACGCACATGTGCATGCACGCACATATTTTGGGCTGAACCGGTTTCGGTTGTTTATGTCATAATAACAGCAACAGTCGCAACATAATCAACTTCTTTATGTGCATTCGCCGTTCGACTCGACCTGTTGCAGTCAGCCTGGCTGTGCATTCACCCGTAGTGGATCGTGTAAATTTACATGACCTTTGCGCGGCTCTTTCTTCTTGCTGCTGCTGCTACCACGACGAGAGAGCCCCGTTACTGTAGATTGGATCTTATGGCAGAGTGGGGATGGATGGCAAGATGAAAGTAAAAGTGCGACATCCGTCTTGACTCCAGAAAAAGGGGGGCAATGTATGGAATGTTGAACCTGATGGTCACCCGATCGTTATCGGATCGGTGTCGGTCGTTAAATTGTGAAGGCGAATCAAGGCCTGCTGCTTACAGAAAATTGAAAGTAGAAGTCTGCAGAGATGGGTTTGGCCACCAGAAATGCAGTTAGGGATCAATTCCGTTGATTTTTTTTAATAAATTAACCACTTCATTCGAGCAGTTAAAATGACGTTTACACACTCGAACTTTGAAATAAAACATTATTTTGAGAAAAGTAGCCAACATTTGTGCGTTTCATAAAAAAATAGAAATTAGTTGGTCCAGTTTTGTGAAATCGCTGGTAGAAAGTTACGCCAAAGCTGCTTGACAAAGTGGTCAATTGATTTGATATGGCTCAATTGAATTAACTTTGCAGAGCCGAGGATTCTTTGTCACTATACTATACAAAATGTCAAGATTGTAATGTTTGGAGAAAATCAGAAATGATAAAGCATTTATCTAGATTTTTTTTTGAACCTCGGGCTAACTTACTATTAAGATCATGAAGTTCGATATACAATCAAGATTTAAGTCCCAAATTTAACATTATTTCTAATCGAAACCCGAGCAGGGGAAAACAATTTATGAATACCATATTCAGGTACGATAGCAGCATACTGGCAACTAAAATATGGTATTGACGAGCCTGACGTAAGAGGTAAAATAGAAAAAAATAATACCTCGAAAATGTTCTACGAATTAACGAACTAATAAATGAATTAGTTGAAATGTCTTCATAACTGTTCAGAAATTCTCTGTAGAACAATTCATAAAATTCTTGGAATTTATCCTAAGATATCTTTGAATTGTTAACCATGCATCCAAGAATTCACTGCAGCTAATAGTAATAATTATTTTAATTCAGCAGATTTTTACCTGATCCAGATCATAGAAAACAAATTTAGTCAATTTCTTCCAAGACTATTTCGAGTGCAATTTGCCCCAATTTTCCGAGTCAAACCACTTGCGCAATTTTTTTTTTTTTTTGCCTCCATGCCTATAAACAAAGCTCCACTGCACAAGCGCGCGCTTCTCAAAGGTTAAAACAGATAATTACCGATGTTAAAAATCAGCAAGTAAATTGCGCACGTTTTGCTCGCTCGCTCTGAATGCAAGTCAAGTAGCTTAAAAGAACTGACTTACTTGACTTATTACCCACGCAATCGTTTCCATTGTGGGGAGTTGGCCCGCCAAAACTTCGAAACCTCATTGAAAAAAAAAACAATAGGCAAAGCAACGTAAGTTGAGTTCAATGTTTTGCTTTAAGGAAATTAATACGCGAAGAAGTAGGGTGTTTGATCTATTTGCCGTTCTACTAAGCACATCCCACGCCTTTCTTTTTCGAACGGATTTGAGCATAACAATTGGATGTATCTAGTACTAATGACTTCTAAAGTCATCTTCCTTTCTTTTCCTTTCCATACATATTGGATTCGATAAACGATCACAACATATTTAGGTTTTTTTTTAATCTAACCGAAGACAACAAATCAAGAAGACTGGCAACTCTTCCATTTTTTCATACAAAAACTATGAGACAGGTACAATCGCGTCATCTTCCGCTCAAAGGTAAATGCTTCGAATGAATTTGATAGCAAAGATTACATCCTCAGAAGAAGGGTTTGTGTATTTGCTCATACACTACTTCTTGATTCCGTATTCGTCATACGGGTTTTAATTCCGTTCAAACACATTGAAACGCCATTGAGGAGCTCCATGTCAACTGACGAATCGATTTTGTTTTTCCCTGTTCGATTTCCATGAAATTTCGCATAATTGTTCACTAGGGGCAATGCACCACGTTTGTGCCGGAATCTGGCCATTTCGACTAACGCTTAATTTTTCAAAAACGAAATGACGTCTGCACTCAAAAGATTTTCAAATCTAAATAGATTAAAAGTTACACTAAATCGCAACTCTCCTGCCCGACGCATAGGTCGGTATAAAGGGAGAGAATACGAACTTAGTATAAAAATGATTTATTCATTGAATGGTGTAAAGTTGCGGTATTCATAGAATGCATAAAGCCTGCCTATCCGTCAGAATGCGTTTTTCATTGATGTCAAGTGAGGAATTTTGGAAAAAGCAAACGAAAGATCTGGAAGTCATGGAATTGTGTTCTTATTGAAGAATTTAAATTAAATATCATAAGGATGCCCGATGGCATAATGATCGCACCACGGCAGTCGAGAAAGGATTGTACGAATATTAGCATGAGCATGATTGACCGCCCACGGTTGCTACTGTTATTGCCAGACCAGCTGTAATTACACAGAGAACCAATAGACGATGCTTGGGACTAGTAATCATCCTCAATGTGTAAAAACTGGTGATCTAAAACTTGGCAATACCAGCGCCGGCCGCGCCCGAACACAGGTTAAGAAAGGAAGGGGTAGGAAAGTGTTGACGTGACACTCGCTTTGATGGAAGCCGAGAACACCTCTGCACTTCCACGAGGATTGGGTTTGCAGCAGGGTTCGTCTTGGTAAACGATAAGCTGAATTGATGTCCTAACAATCATATAACGCGAAGGAGCTTGGGATTGAACCCACGGTCTTCTGCTCAGTAAGCAAAAACGTTTGCCACTAGGCAGACGAGCTCCTTTTTAATTATCGAGTTGCTGTTATTACCATGTAGTCATTTTAACAAATAAAACGATTGACGAATCTTGAATGTGGATGGGCTTGAGATTAGACTCATGATGTTCTGCTCAGTAACCAAAACCGGTTGCTCTAAGGCCGCCGAGCCCCTCATATCACATTATAGCGTTACTCAAGTTTTTATAACTATTCAAACCCGGCACCGACGGCAACGAAAAGTTTTACACAATGCACGATAAACAAGCGATCTTACAATACATTTTTAATATGAAAGGACCTGGGACCGCGTTTTTCTGCTCAGTAAGCAAGCCACTGCAACCGACGATCTTTGAAATCCTAAAACTAAAAGCTACGAAAGAGTACTTAGGCCTTCATTAAAATCCACTTTCACTGCGCATGGTTCAGGCAATCACAACAAGCTATGACCGACGTGAAGATTGTTTAAGACCTGATTAAACAAGCTATTCAAATGAAATTACGTTCTCGAATTTCACTTTGCATGTAATGAACAACAGAAATACGCGATAATCCATATTTTTTCGGTTGATGGTTAATTTTAAATATACTAACGGTACTGCCTACGACTACGACGGCTATTACGACAGCGACTACGACGGCGCCTACGACAACGACAACAGCGAATATGTAACTTACCATTTGTCTAGGATAAACACCTTTGTCCGGCACCTCCACTGGTTCTTCATGTCCGCTATCTGTCACTGTTTTCAAAATATCTAATAGCAATTACCTTTGTTGTAATACTTCCTGTATTGCCATGGTCATCTGGGATGAGGGTCGCATCTAGTGCTTTCCCTAGGAACCGTTCACGGCCACCAGTCTTGGGCGTATCCAGCGAGACATCCTTCAGCTTACTCACAAACTCCGACACTCAATCACAACAAACTGTACCGA